TACCTTTAGTAATACTTTTTTGCCTTAAAAGTATTTTGTATAACATTATCATATCTAATTAGCTTTCTTATGCTTATTATTTGCCTGGTAAATAAAACACACTTTGTTTTTCAATTTTTACATGCTTTGCTTTCAACTTTTCCATACTTTTTTTATTTAGACGTGTCTTTCACAAATAGCATATGCCTGGGTTTAAAAAAGTCAATCTGACAATTTTGTTAGTTAACTGAGTATTTAGTCATTTATATTCACTGTAATTACTGATATATCTGTATTTGTTTCCATCATCACTTTTTCTTTTTTATCTGCTTTTTTTCTGTCCTTTATTGCCTTTTGGGGCAGACAGGTTTTTTCTTTATATCTAGAATAAGGAGCCTTCTGACTTATATTTGTATGAAGACATATGATTGAAGTCAGATCTTAAAACTGAGTTTGATTAAAAAGAGGGGGGAATAAAGAAAAGAATAAACCAGAAGAGGTTTTAAAAAGTGGAAATGGATAGCACCTCATACTAATTAGGATGGTTACTACAAAAAAGAAAGAAAGAAAGAGAGAGAGAGAGAGGGAGGGAGGGAGGAAGGGAGAGATGGAGGAAGGAAGGAAGGAAGAGAAAGAAAGAAAGGAAAAATACAAGTGTGGACAAGGATGTGGAGAAATTGGAACCTTTCTGCATTGCTAATGGGCAGGTAAAATGGTGCAGCCACAATAGAAAACAGTATGGCAGTTCCTCAAAAAATTAAAACTCAAATTATCATATCATCCATCAATTCCAATCCTGAGTGTGTACCCAGAAGAACTGAAAGCAAAGTCTTGAAGACATACTTGTATACTCATGATCACAGCAGCATTATTCACAACAGCCAAAAGGTGGAAACAACCCAAGTGTCCATGAACAGATGAATGGACAAACAAAACACAGTATAGACATACTGTAAAGTGGAAGATTATTCAGCCATAAAAAGGGAAGAAATTCTGACATGTGCTACAACATGGGTGAACCTTGAGGACATTATGCTAAGTGAAACAAGCCAGACACAAAAGGACAAATATCGTATGATTCCACTTATATGAGGCACCTCGAGTAGTCAAATTCAGAATCAGAAAGTAGAAGGGTGGTTGCCAGGGGCTGGGAGAGGGGCGAATGGGGAGTCGTTGTTTAATGAGTGCAGAGTTTCAGTTTCGCAAGATGAAAAGAGTTCTAGAGATAGATGGTGGCAACGGACGCACAATAATGTGAGTGTACTTAAGGCCACTGAAGTGTATACTTAAATAGGATTAAAATGATAAATTCTATGTTATGTGCACTTTTCCACAATTTTTTAAAAAGTGGAAATAGTGGGGAAATAAAGGGAAAACCAATTTTACTTCTTTCTTAATTATACATGACCAGCTCTGAGCCCTTTGCTGTGAGGAGCTACAGGTGTTGCTAGAGCATGTTGCTGTTTGTACTTGCTGCTCGTAACAACCTGTCAGGCAGTTACTCCATGTAACCCTTGCTTTACAGAGAGGAAAGAAACTTGCTCGACTTCCCAACAATGGCATACCCTGAAGCCATGACTTCAGTGCAGCTCTTATAGGAGTGTGAAAACACTGACATAGCAAAGGGGCTGACAAGCCACCATAAGTTTGTGGCCTGAGAGCAAATCCGAGCCCTTCTCACCAAAGGACTGCTCTAGCTTTTTACTGACTCATGATATTATTTTATAATTTGGTAACACTTTTCAGCCTCCATACCTTATTTTAAGCGCATGGCGAAGTTACACTGCTCTGCTTAAAGCTGTATTTGTAAATATCCCCAAAGCCTGTCTCTGTCCTCCAGGCTGGAGCTGTTACACTTCACTTCACATAATATTGCTCTTAGTATTTGTCACATTTTCTAGCCTAGTAAAGTGCTGATGATTTGATTAGAGGTAAACCCAGCTTAAAACGCAGCATTAAATTTGGCTCAAGGGTCAGTCATCTCTGTCTGTTTCTCTTGATTGTGAACTCTTAGTTCTTTATTGAGAGTAAGGACTGTGTCCGATTCATTTTGTATCCTCAGTCCCTCACACAGATTCTCAGTAACGACTGTTAAGGTGGTGGCTGAGGTCTTGATGGAGGTGTCTGTGATGGCCACAGTTGTGGGTAGTAGGAGTGTTGATGCCCAGGCAAATCCAAAAGTTACAAAAAATAATAACAGGCAATATTACTAAGCTCTTATTCTGTTATTGTATTGGCCACTTTACATACGTTAACTGTGAAATCCCAAAACTACACTATGTGATACGTATTCTGATCTCATGTGTCAGATACAGAAATTAAAGTCTGACATTAAGTAATTTTTTTGCCCAGGTTATCACAGATAATGAGTGCTATAATCAGGATTGTTTGAACCCAAAGCTAATACCTCAGTCCCTGCAGGTTTCTATTTCTTCATACAGTTGCATGCTATCCCAGCTTTGCATTTTAATCTGTTTTTCAGTGCATCGTGGTGTGGAAGGAAAAGCACTGAACTTTCAAAAGAAACACATTTAAGTTCCTGCTCCATCATTTCCTAAGTGAGCAAGCCATTTTGTCATCTATACAACAGGAAATTCCTGCCCTGCCTACCTGAGCTGTAAGATGATCTCAGATGAAGTATTTAGTAAACTGAAAAATTAATTATAATAAATGCTGGCCTTTCTGTGTCTACTTTTATTCTCAAAAAAATTTAGGTCTTTCAGGTCAATTAAATTCTTGGTGGAAATTTTCCTGTATGTGGGTAGTAAAATTTATCCTAAAAATCTCAATATTAATCAATGAGATTACTCAATATGATCACTTATTTATTCCTAAAACACTTATTTTTCCACCTTTACAGTGGAAAACTCTGGAAGATTCCAACAACTAGGACCATCAACAATAATGGGACAAAATGACACCATGCACCTGCTAGTGATGCACTGAGGCGCATCACTTACATAGTATTCCTACCAAAATCTCATCGTGAAAACAATCAGAGAAACCGATTCTACAATACAAATGCCCTACATTCAATAAACATGTCAGTATCTTTGAAGACAAAACAAGTCTGAAGAACTGTTCCATTTTTAAAGAAACTAAAGACACATAACAACTAAATACAATGTGATCCTGAAACGACAAAAATGTTTTGGTAGTAAATTGGGACGATTGGCGACATTTTAGTAGACAGTGTACATTAGATGATATTGTTGCAACAATGTTAAATACCCTGAATTTGATCACTGCATTTTGGTTAGAGAACGCCCTTGTCCTTAGGAGATACACACTAGGCTATTTAGTGATGAAGGACCATGATGTCCTTAATTTACTTTCAATTGGTTCTCAAAAAATATATAAATAATGCATATGCTGAGTGAAATAAGGCAGAAGGAGAAAGTCAAATACCGTATGATCTCACTCATAAGTAGAAGATAAAAACAACGACAAACAAACACATAGCAATGGAGATTGGATTGGTGGTTACCATAGGGGAAGGGGGGAGGGCAAAAGAGGTGATTAGGCTCACATGTGAAGGGATGGACTATAATCAGTTTTTGGGTGGTGAACATGATGTAATCTACAAAGAATTCGAAATATGTTACAATGTACACCTGAAAGCTACATATTGTTATAACCCAGTGTTACTGCAATTAAAAAAATTAAAAATAAAAAAAAAATTTTAAAACATCATATCATAGGAATGATTGAATAAATTACGATAAATTCAAAGGATGTAAAATCCAAATATTAAAGAAATAAATTTGAAGAAAATAGAGAAATGTTCTTTATTCACCATCAATTAGAAGTAGTATTTACAAGCTGTATATATAGTTGGAGGCAAATTGTATACTAAAATGCACTCAACATGTATACTCACAGAAAAAATTTTGGAAGGAAATACAATAAAATGTTAATCCCTATCAAAAAATATATATACAAAGAATATAAAAATATTACATACTTTTTTGTACGGACTAACATGCTTAATTCCGAGCAGACACCATATTGGGATAAAATATGAAAATGTCAAATGGAAGAAAAATTAGCTTTCTTTGTAGAAGAAGGGACTAATTTTCCACAAATATACAAGTAATCAGAGAAATCTAAATATAGGTCAGATGTAAGGCGACAATCAACGCTGCTGAATATTGGAATTCCTCTAGCGTATTGGAGACCTCATCCAAGGTCTTGAATCTAAGAGCGTCCCCCAGGGATAGATATATATATATATATCTATATATGTATAGATATATATATATATACACACACACATATATATACACATGTATATGGCTAATATGGCTGGGCTGAATACACCATTCTCCCGTCTCTGGCAACTACCCTTAACATTCTCTATGCCTAATAGGACCTTGAAGCCAGGTCCAGAAAGGGATGCTTAAGCCAGGCTGAGCCAGCCAGAACTTTCTGTGTGTGTATGTGTGTTTTACAGAATATCTGATGCTTGAAAGTCCCCAATGCCTAAATGCCTCCCGGGAGTAAACGAGTAAATGGCTACAGCGACAACTGAATTACCAATGTTTCCAGGGTGATTAGCCACGAAAAGGCCAGCGATTTTACTCAGGACAGGCGTTAATCCTACCATGCCAGACTTTGAAGAAATTGCTCCGAATCACGTTTTAGAAGCTCAGTAAAGTGAAATGAAGGAATTAATTGCTCTTGAGAGAGGGGAGGGGGTCGAGGAGGCTCTACAGCAGCCAGACACACTGCGTTTAGAGTTTAAGCCGTTTAAACGGTCAGAGAAGCAAACTGGCACAGCCGAAAGTTCAGACGCACTTCACACATTCGCGGCCTGCCCACAACTTCCTGAAACTCAGCGGCCCTGACAGCTCCGGTCCGCTTCCCAGGCGGGGCCGCATCCACCGTGATCTAGCCCCGCGCTCAACAGGAAAAGTTTGCAACCCAGGAGCGTCCTTGCGCATCCCGGGCCGCCCATTCCTGGGTGTTAGGAGACGCCACCGGGGCCACCCCCGCGCGCGGCCCGCGGGCCGGGACCGTACCTCGGGCGCGGGCGACGAGGCACCGAAGGCGGCGTCGCTGGTCCGGTCCAGGCTCCTGGAGCCCGAGGAGCCGCCGCGGCTCATGCCGGAGCCCCGGGCGCGCTCGGACCCGCAGCGGCGGGGAGCGAGGCTGCGGCGCGGGACCCGGCGGGCGCGCGCGGGCCGTCTCCTCGGGCAACCGGTTTCCAGGGCGGGGAGGCGGCCAAGCCCGGACGCTGGCGGCGCCCGCGGGACCCGGCGGCCCGGCCGGGCTGCGCACCAGCAGGGCGGACCCCGCTGCTCCGAAACGGGCACCGGGACGCTGGGCGGACCCCGATCCTCCCGGGGGCTCCTCTCCGGCGAGGCGCAGCGGCTGAGCGGCGGCGGCGGCGGCCCCATCTGGCCAGGCCAAGGCTGTGCTGAGCCGCGGACGCGCCAAAGCGACTAGGGGACAGCGGGGTTGGGGGTGGTCTTCCCCGTGGGACTCCACCGCGAGCGCAAGTCCAGGTCTTGTCCTTAAGTCAGGGACAGGTGACAGCGAGTGGTCAATGTCAACGGTGCTGGCACGCGCGAGGTGTGGGAGCGTGTTGACACCAAGGTGAACAAGCATTTATTCAACACCTCCTGTGTGCAAACGCTTCTGCTTCTTCCAGCTCCAGGGCCGGCTTCCCGGGCACGCAACCTGTGCAGCTGCTTGGGTCCCGGGCTCAGAAGGGTCCCGAGCTTGGCTTAATGCTCTACTGCTCCACTGTCGAAATTCTTAATGATTTTTGAAAGAAGGGCCCTACATTTTCATTTTGTACTGGGCTCCAGAAATTATGTAGCCCGTCCTGGCGAGCGTTCTTTCATTTAAACTTCCCAATGACCCTGCAGGGAAATATACGTAGTGATAATACTGGTGTTAGTAACAGCCACAGCGTCTGGTTATGGAACACGCACGTGTGTTCTGAGAAGAGCTGTTCTAAGTGCTTTCGATGTATGATCTCGTTAAATCAAACAAGATTATGAAGTGGATATTAGAATATTCCATTTTTAAGATGAGGAAACAATCATAGAGAAACGAAATAAACTGTCCAAGAGTATACAGCAGGTCGGGGGCAGAATGAGAATCAGACCCCAGACCACAAGACTAAAGCACAGAGAAGGCCAGTAACCTGCCCAAGGTCCCACTATTTGCAGGAGAACCTAAAACTGGAACCCACATTGACCTGACTTGAAGGTCCTTGCTAGACCTGTGTGCTGTTCTGAAATTGAACAAAATTAGAAATGCGGTAGCTTTTCTCGGATTTCATCTGATCATCCTACATGCATCCTTCTTGTCTGTGAAGATTTCTTGGCCTTGACAATGGCTTTTGATTTTACAGTAACATTGCCACATCTCCAATCCAGAGCCACCTCAATGCTTTCACTTGAAGCAACATTAATAATAATAATGATGATGGTAATAATAATAGTCCTTAATGGAAACAAAGGCTTTCAGAAATCTCCTATTAATAGTATACTTTGTAGTAAACAGGTTTGTGAGCTGCAACATTTACTTGCAGGAGAGTCGCTACACACTTGAAACATCACTCAGTGAAATGATGCTGCCAGAGGAAACCCAAAAGTGGATGAAATTTCAAGGCACCTGGAAGAGAACCAATCCGAGAAAGGCCCTTCTCTATTACGTCCACATCCAACTGTCTGAATTCAGTTTCATCAGGTCTAATTCTGGTCATCCTGGTCACCCTTGAAGCTCTTCTTCACGACAACGGAAGACAGAAATTCACAACGGTCTTGAAAAGTCAGCGTTGGTGATGGAGGTGTTAGTTAACTAGAGGGGAGGAATGTTTTCACAATGTACACGTATATCAAATCATCACTACGTACACTTTAAATATCTTCCAAATTTATTTGTCAATTATACCTCAATAAACACACAATAAAACATTATTTTAATCAGTGTCAAACAGATTTTTCTCCATGTGAAAGCAATGTACTTTTTGTGGTAAGTGGGAGCAGAAAAAGTGCTTGGTTTGGCGTCTGCCCAGTTGCCTTCGAACTTTCTGGGATGTCAAGACACAAACTGAGTGACTCTTCAAGGCTGCATCTGTTGACGGGTCCTTCGAGCGTTGAGAGGGAGGGCTTTGAGTCCGGATGTAGGTCTGAGCTGGACCCTGGAAGGCACTGCAATGGGACCAGCCAGCCCTAAGGTGGTGGAACCTGCAGGCTGGCAGTGGGGGAACTCTAGATGTGATGACAGTTTACACACAGGAGGGAAGTACAAACACACAAAGCAGCCCAGATTTCTCTCAACACTGCACGTGTGGGCAATATATTATGATCTGTAATCCCTCAGTACAGACTTCTGTTTTTCTTTACAGTGACATAGAGATGGGAAGCTTCCAGCTGTGTGACCCAGTAAGTCTCATATAACTGCTTCTTTATAGAAGAGGGATGGTCCTAGTTAGATGCCAGGCTGAGTTTGGACCACGGTGTATAGGACTCTTCCGCTGACCACGCCTTTGAAGACCAACACTGAGCATGCTGCACCCAAAAGAAGACAGCAGGGCAACAGTAGGTGGGATACATAGAGGAGACAGCGGGGAGGCGAGGAGGCTGCAGGAGTGCTGTCACCGGCCAGGTGAGAGCTGGGACTAGCAGGAATGGGGGTGGTGATGGCGACGGGGGAAGATCGGAGGTGGAATCAACAGTCTGAGCTGACCAGCCGGGCTAGAAGGCTAGTGAGGCCTGCCAAGCAGCAAGGAGATGAAGCAGAGGAGGGAGGAGGAGAGAGAGTTCAGTTTGGGACAAATTTAGTCTGAGATGCTGATAGGGGAAAGCAAACAAATATTTTGCCATTTGGGAACAGGAAGTCCTGGGCACATCCAACTTAAACCAGAATTTCCAGCTCCTGTTGTAACGTTAAATTTTATCCTGAAATATATTGATACACCTGGGAGGCTGAGATATGTGTTAAATAAACAGAATATCTGAGACAAGATAAAAATGCCTCATAATTCGCTCTGGAAGGAGATAAAGAACTCTCTCCTCTGGCATTTGGATTTTATTCTGGAACTTTCTTGTGGGGTCATACATTTATTACTCTGGTTTCCTCCTTGTGTTTGCTTACTTGTTTGTTTTGCAAATGTACGTGTTTCTCACAGGAAAATTTGTAACTCGATAACCACTTTGGGGACTTTTGACTTATATTTAAAAGCTTGTCCCTGAAACCACTATTGTGACATTTTAGTTGTCTAAAGACTGTTTTAAAAGAGTATGCTTGATTGAAATATCATCCTAAATAACCGAATGAAATGTTGCCAAAGGCTGCAAACAACTTTAGTCATCTAACGGAAGATTCCTTGATGAGATAGAAACCTCTGGAAGCTACTGCTACCAGAAGTGACAGCATTTAAAGGTCTTCAAAGCCATTCTCAGCTCTTTCTTAGGCTTGTTCCAGTTGGCTTGCTGATCTACGATCTCTCTAATAAATGAGTCCTTCTTCTGCAATGATTTGAGTTTTATCAATTCATTCATCAGGGATTCTAAAGCAAATCCCCTGTCCCTTACTTGTTCTATCATGACAGTTCAGCTAGTTGTTAAATAATTTATGAATGTCATTTCCAAAAATCTTCATGAATTTTTGTATCATTTATTTTTAAAGTCCATTTTCTTTCTTTTCCCCACACATATGACTGTTTCCAGTGTATGTCATACCTAAAATAAATGTGACCCATTTTATAACATCACTACAGTCTAAGCTTGGAGAACCTCTGAGCTCCCTTGATGGAACATACCAACAGAAAAAGCCTTCAGTTTCATCATTAAAGTAAATTATGGATTGTTCTTTTTAAAAGCAAAATCCTTATCAAAAATCTAAAGTACTTTAAAAATACTTTACCTGGGTAAATATAAGCTTTTGAAAAACATCCATGATAAATATGTATTTTCTGGACCTACTTGACTTTTATCTGACCTTAAATTCAACACGTTTTAATTCAGTTTTAATCTATATTTTCTCAACTAGCCAAAAAAGATGTCTTGTACCTAGTACCATCTCTCATGGCCTTACTGAAGCAACCATTCAGTCGTAAAATTGCAAGTTTATAATAGTTTAACATGTTAGGACAAATTTGGAGGGAGTCATTGGGCAATCAATGTTAACGTTTTTCTATTCTAAAAGGAGAAAGCATTTTCTTGCAGACTGCCGGAAGAACCACCTTACCGTAAGTCTCTTAATAGGAAAAGTGTCAACCAGTCAGGAGTCTGGGGTGAAGCGAGAGCCCAAAAGACATTCCTTGACTCCTTTCTCCTCCTCACCCCCTTGCAGCCAAGTCTTTTCCTAAAGTCTGTCCCTTTGCAGTTTCCCTGGAGGAGCCGGCAGTCAAGATTCTTAAGGATGTGGATTAGCGACAAGTGATCCTAGGACAAGGATGTTGAGGAAGATAGAACAGGGTGTGGGAACAAGCCGCTCAAGCATGTGGCCAAGCCTGGAAACTGTCCCACCCTGTACCTGCCTCCCCCAAATCCCCCCCCCCGACCCCCCTGCCCTGCGCTGTCCCCACCCCCCAGCCTCACATCAACTAGTCATTAGCAGGTGGGCAAATCTTCAGAGAAAGAGGCAGCCTCTTATAGCCAGCACTCGCTGGAGCTCCTGGGAGGAGGGGTATCTCCACTAAGGAAAGGGATTCCAGAAAGAAAAACACTTTCGACTACACAATTCAATCTCAGAAATGACTCTTCAGTCTATTTCTCCTTTTGCCATGCTCACTATCATTGCCTTAGAATAGATTTTAAGGAGTTTTTTTTTTTAATCTGGTTTCACACCAGTCTGCTTCTAATCCATTTTCAAACCAACACAAGAATTATTTTCCTAAAACCCAAATCTGATCAGATTCTTGCCCTGTTCTCAAACCTTCAGGGAAATCCCACTATTTATAGGAAAAGAGAGAGAGTCTTAACATATATGGTTCTTTTTTGAGTAATTTTCATAGGTTATTATTTTTCCTCTTCAAATCACCTCCTCTGAGGCGAGTTTTATCATCTTCTTATTACAGATGTGAAAACGAAAGTTCAGAGAAGGAGCTTGCTAGTGTTCACACAGCATAAATGGCAGTACAGGTATTCCAAGTGAGTTCTCTTGGCCTCCAGGTTCTCTACTCTTTGTTATCAACATTATCTAACAGTCGGTACTTCCCAAAGTTGAACCCATCCACTCTGCCTGCTGTGTTTCCCTTATGCAACGTATGCTACAGTCCAGGCTGCCATGTACAATTGATCAGGTTGTGCACTGTGCAAAGGCACAACATTTAAGGGCACATCATCCACAGTAGAGACGTTTTTGCTATTTTGAAATTTCTTTGTATTTTCCTAACACTTTTGTTGACTTTAAAGATGGGCAGTTTGTACATTTCTTATAACATTTTTTTCAACT